GGTATAGGGTTAGGCGTAGGGTTGGGTGCCACCCTCATACAACTGAACTCGTATGAATTCATACGAATTAGCTACAAAATGTAAAATACTTACGTTTCCTCGTGAGATCATGCCGGTTTAAACAGTAGCTGAAGCCTATTTCTGAAACAACCACGTAATTTATTCATTTAAGCTTTGTTTCATCCAAGTTTATCTGAGTTCTGTTGCACAGTTGTGCTCCTTTCATTTATTTAACTACTATTGTTTTTTAACAACTGTTTATTAAGTTGAAGGTTTGATACTGATTAGAACTGGTTTTTAAAAAGTCTTTAAAAAAGGTATTGAAAGTACCTTTAGCATTCCTGCATATACCCTATAAGTGCAGTTAGGGCTGGGTAGTATATTGATTAAATATTTTTAAAGCAGTATGCTATGAGGCAGTCCCGTTTATATCGAAAAAGCAGTATAGAAATACATCTGAAAAATAGTGGAGCACAGAATAAAGAAAGTCCATAATCCAGTGAGTCAAACTTTATATTAAGGGCTTTAAATCTGTAAATGTAAGAAAGTCTTGAAGATGTGTCATAAATAGTGAGGTAGTCAAAACAGTTTAAAGTTTAAACAATTTTGTGGACATAATTAGTGGCCTAGCATGGTTAAGTTTACTGTATTTCTTTTTACAACCTTAGCTATGAACATTGTTTAATTGAACAACACTGCGCAAGATAAACAAATGTAAAACAAATATCGATTAATTTTTGTATTCAGACATGGAAAGTACAGAAATATATAGAAAAAATAGTTATTAAAACTATTATGTTTAGAAATGTGTTGAAGAAATCTTCTCTCCGACAGAAATTGGAGAAAAAAAATAATTTAGGGGGGCTAATAAATCTGACTTCTACTGTATGTTCATAATATGCACATTATATCAAATATTTTTAATATTACATACATGATGTTAATGACACAAAAAATTAATTTCTATTAACTTAGTTTTGTAAAGAATAAATATTCTATATTAGTACTCAATTCAACCTTATAGAAATGAAAACTTCAACTTAATGTTGTATAATGGTATTTAACTTGGAACTGTTTTAGTAATTATTTGAAGAAATGTCAAAGTAATGAACTTGAGCAAAACTTTCTAGTACTTGTGGTCCCATTTTCAGTTTTTCCTTTGTATTTACACAGTTGTATTGTGGCTTTTCAGGTGTAAAAACTCTGTTTTATGACCTCCTGGGTTAATTTTCCACTCAACGTACTGTGGCACATTTATACTCACTGCCTGTTGCCATCAAAACATTGACTGTTACAATCAGCATTGTGTACCTGTAGCATTGAGCTCTCTTTCATGAGTTACTTGTAGGTAACTTGTTGCATGTATTGTGTGGATATATCTCATCATGTAGATTGTAACAAGAAGACAGTGTTGTTTAATTATTGTACACTTTAAAAGCATTAAAATGTACAATAAAACTATTAAAATATAATTGAAATAGAGTGCTGAAAAAATAAACACTAAATACTATGTACTTTACCTGAGTGCAAAGAATTGTGAAAGAGGTACATTACTTATTGCTTTTTTCCTTTAGTGTAGTTGTTAAAACACTTTGTCTAGGCCTGCACTATGTATCATTTCAGCATTGATATCATAATGTGCGCATCTTCAATACGTCACAGAATCTGGAATGTCAAGCTGCCATCATAATTAACCAGAACCACAGTTCAGTACGCATGATTTGTAGACTCTTTGTGAATTTTAACCACAATCTAATGGTGCGAAGATAATCTAATTGTGTGAAGAATCTAATGTGAAATATTTTTACTTGGATGTGTTTTTAAGGTTTGCAACTGTAAAATACAAAGCAAAATTAAACCATTTGGGGCACATAAAAATATAAAGTTTACTGCTTTAACAAAGAATAACTGTTTAATTATTTATAAAATGAGGATTATACAGCGTTATTTCAGATTTGATAACTGAATTTTTGTAACTCAATATTTCACCGAAAACCATGCTGATGCCCTCCTTTACAAAATCATCCCAATCAATGTAAAATGATCAATTCTTTCCAAACAGTTACTTAAGTCATATTTTGTGATATTATATTCATAGCACAATATTTAATCGCAGAAATATAAAATATTCAATTTTTTTCCTATATTGTGCAGCCCTAGTTGGTCTGGATTTTTCTTTTGAGATGTTAATATTTTTCTTCAGCAATGATGCATTAAAATTATGAACTTTCTACTAATGTGAAGATGGTAGTCTACACAGCTCTTTTCAAATATGATATTAATAAAAAACAATACGTTAATACACCAAATCAGCATGTTAAAATTATTTCTGAAGTATCTTACCATACTGAAAACTAAAGTAATGATGCTGAAAATCTAGCTTTGCCCTTACAGGAATAAATACAATTTATTAAAATAAATATATTAAAATAGAAATAGTTTATTTTATTAGAAATAGAATATTATTTATATTTGTAATAATGTTACATATCATACATTTTCTAACTGCATAATTTACAAAACTATACGTTACAGGCTTGGCAAGCCTGTTACAGGTTTTTGGTTGCTTGGCAATCAAATAAATAACTTACATTTCAAAAAATCTTAAAATATAGACAACAATATTTCACACTAATATTTTATTTTGCTGTATTCTTCATCAAATAAATACACTTGACCTGGTTGATGATAAAAAGAATACTTTTCTTAAAACATTTCTTTGAAGGGGGGTGCATGCTTTCTGTCAAGATGAAAGTAAGTGACCCGTGTGTGGTCATTTAAAGTGAGATTAAGACATGGGGCCCCAAGCAGGCAGACACATTCAGAAAATGCATGCAGATAAAATTACTCCTGACCCCTAGACGGCCATTCACAAAGCACACTCACGTGAGGGAGTCGGTGCAGGAACAGACAGGCTATGGGGCTGCCAGACAGCTGGGGCCCAACACTAGCCCAGATTACACATGACCTCTCGTCCCCTTCCACCCCCAGTCAACCCCGGAGGATTAAGAAATTACATTTCAAACACAGCACTTCGTAACTGATTACAACTGGCATTCGCTGTGAAATTGGACACAAATATACATGTGGATAAGCTTGCTAAAGAGGGTGGGTGAAAGGGGAGGAGCCAAAGACCCTGATGTATGGGATGCTTGTTGGAAAAGTTAGTCTGTGAATACTTTTGTTTTATTAAAATATCCAAAATCCACTAAAACAGTGTTATGAATTTTGCTAACATGTACTTGTATTGTCACAAATATTTTGAAGAAATCAAATCAAATTCAGAGAAATAAGCTATTATATTTAGTCATACGGACCGTATCATGTGTCGCCATGATAATGATGTCACACATGACATCATGTGTGATTAGTTTTATGGAAAACAGGGAAACTCCAATGACGATTTAATGTGTTGTGTATTTTATTAAACTGCACAGGGCAGCATTCCTTCCACTTAAGAATAAACACTGTCATAATTTACTTGTGTTCTAATCCTCTTTGAGTTTCTTTCTCCTGTTAAAAAATACTGTAAAACTGTAGCCATTGACTTCCATAAAAAAAGGACATATTGCTAACATTTTTAAAAATATGTTAACTTGTGTTGACTTGAAAACAAACATAAAACATACAGTTGAAGTCAGAATTATTAGCCCCTCTTTGAATTTTTTTGAAATTTTTCATAAATTATGTTCAACAGAGCAAGGATTTTTTTAGTATGTCTGGTAATTTTTTATAATCTGAAGAAAGTCTAATTTGTTTTATTTCGGCTAAAATAAAAGCTTTATTTCTTTAACACCATTTTAAGGACAAAATGATTAGCCCCTTTAAGCTATATTTTTGTTTCGATAGTATACAGAACAAACCATTGTTATACAATAACTTGCCTAATTACCGTAACCTGCCTAGTTATGCTAATTAACCTAGTTAGGCCTTTAAATGTCACTTTAAGCTGTATAGAAGTGTCTTGAAAAATATCTACTCAAACATTATTTACTGTCATCATGACAAAGACAAAAAAAATCAGTTATTAGAAATTGATTATGTTTAGAAATGTGTTGAAAAAAATCTTCTCTTCAACTGTGTAACCACTATATTTTGTGTGGCAAACTGTCCTTTTGAGAACACTTTGACTGTGCACCTGCAAAAACTGTTTTGCTCATATATAAATATTTATCTGGAATAGAATTGAACAGGGGATTTTAGTAAACAAACATATTAAACAGCCATTACTTCAATATTTAATGAATCATAATACTTTTGAAATAGTATAGTTGAACGCGGATTCACCCTGCTTTGAGTGAATTCTTGGAATTTCAAAATCACTCAATCATAATGATCTGAGTGATCTGTTAGGTTTGTATTCAGTGAAAATACAGTATCCGCTGCAGCGTATTGAAGTCCCAGGCTATTTAGTGATTTATAAACTAGTAATAACACTTTAAAATCTATTCTGAATTTAACTGGAAACCAGTGTAAAGACCTGAATGTCATAAATGTCTTTGCTGTCACTTTTAACAATAATGCAATCTTTTTTTTTTTTTTTTTTTTTTGCACAGTTTGATTATTGGTTAATATGGCAGCATTATAGTGTTAAATCAGTGCTCTGCACATCTTGTGTCCGCATATATTTATCCTAATTCTTCAGAGTTTCATTCCATTCATTCCATTCAAATGGAATTCATTCATCTTTTATGCAAATCTCATGATTAAGTCTTTGTTTTTAAATGAAGTATACTTCCATTTCAGCCAGTTTCCTGTGGTCAAGGGCCAGGGGGTAGAGAGCTTTGAACATTGTTAGGTAACATGTCAATCAGATCACAGTTCCTTCATGGAGCTCTCTTCTAACAAGCTAGTTAACATAAATAAGGTGTGATAAACAAGAAAGGTGTGCAAAAATTGCAGAGCAGAGGTCGCGAGGTATAGATTGAGAACCACTGCACTATTTAACATTAGCTATTGATTATCATCATTGCTTAGCAAGTCATTTTGCTTTCTTTCAGGTGGTTTCATCCCAACATCACTGGGATCGAGGCAGAACACCTCCTCCTGACACGGGGCGTCCATGGCAGCTTTCTAGCACGACCCAGCAAGAGCAACCCAGGAGATTTCACTCTGTCTGTCAGGTCAGCATAGAGTATGCACTCCTTTACACCTGCCTTAATATGAGTCTGCTCTAGATTTGTTTGTTTTTTTCTCCTCAAGACAGTTATCAAGCTCATTATGTTGTTTTGACCTTTTGTGGTTGGTTTGTGAAGTTGAGCATGAATTGCATCTCTTCTGTTAAATGTTTATCTGATGCGTTATTGATTTCTTGGAAGTGTACTTGTTAGCCTAACCGACTTTTTTCATGCTTGGTAAAGCATTAAAAAGCTTGTTTATGTCATAGATTTCAGTCTTTGTACTGAAAACTCACTTCAACCATAAAAAGGAAAGAAAGTATTCACTAAAATATAGGGGTGTTATGGATCACGGTTGATTCGTGATTCGTACGGATCACAACCCACGATTCGGAACACACGTGACCCACGAATTAATGCATTTTTTTATTTGGAACGATCACAGAGAAATCGCCTCTCACGTCATTCAAATCACATGTATGAAATTAAAGGTGTTTTCTGCCACCACTTGTTTAACCTGCATCAATGCATTCATTGTAAGCTGCACGATTAATCATTAAAAGATCAGGATCTCAATACCCCCGCAACATAAATTATAAATGATGGTGATTTGCGTATGTTTCAAACCGCTGCATTCACATGTGAAAATGCAAAATTCAAGAAAGAGATTCAGTCTTTAGTCTAGTCTTTAGTCTAGAGTTTTGAAGTTACAAACAGTCAAATAACACAAAAGTACTGAGATAACAGTTTATACAATAGTTTAGAGATAACCACTGATGTTTATGGTAAAGATTAAAATCATTGTCAAATGCATTTAAGGGTGTACTCACATAAGGTACAGTTACCTTGAACCGCGCCTAAGCTCCCTTCTGCCCTTCAGCCTGCGCTCACATTGCATTTTTTACCTACCTTTTACCAACGTTTATGTTATCGATGCTGCAAATTTTCAGTTTGACAGGAAGAGAAGCGCTCTTGCTCAGAACAGTGTAGATTGGTTTAGTTATATCGTTTTAGTTGTTTGGGATACAGTGACACGCAGTCAAATATTTTGCCAAACAGATCAGCCACTTTTGACGCTCATTAATGGTCCTCGTTCTGCAGGTATTAGGAGATTTGACAAAGGTGCAGCTGTCATGCAGTGATGGGTTTGCGTCTTTAATAAACTAAGATAGTTTTTGTTCATTGAACTGTAAGTATGAGTAATAAATCCATATGAAACAGTCCCTTAAAAGTGATGTTGCGTCTTCAGTTTCGGGCTTATGCGCTTTGCAATCACACTACATGCGTACCTGGCCAAAGCCCAACTAAACCATGTTCTGGCAGACTGGCACACCTCTTCCAACCAGGCCAGTACAAGCCAACTGAACTGCACCTGAGCACGATTCAGAGCATTCACACTTCTCTGGGAAATGTGCCGGTTTGGATAAAAATAAAAAATAAAAGTTGCAGTCAGCAATTACATTATTCAACCAATAGGTGGTGACAACCAGCCATCAAAAATATGTCACTGAATAATTCTTTAAAAAATGACACATCTAGCTATGAAACATGAAGTTCCCCTTCGGGGGGAACTTCAGCACTATAAGTGGATTTGATTGTAAAATCCACGCATTGGGAGGTTCGGTTCAGAAGCTACTCGTCTGAAAGAGTATTGAACGGGCCAATTAAGAATGAATTGGCAGCGCAAGCCTGCGCAGGTGAGCGGCATAAGCAATCAACTGAGTATATAAGCTCACCTGGCGCCAGCAGACGCTATCCTTTTCGCTTCAGAGACTTTTTGATCGAGTCGATGAGGGTTCCTCCTGCTGTGACCAGCGATTCTGAGCGAACGAGAGCATTCTCCCGGTCCAGAGTGTGTACACGCAGTGGCAGACGGTCGAGCTGGGTTTCTCCCTTGCCTGGCGTTCTTTGGGTCCGGTCCTCCAGAGCGGTGCGTATAAAGTTGCAAACTTCACAGAAAGAGCAACACAGTCGTGCAGCACGTCCTTATCAGGACGGCGCTCCGACTGTGCGTTTCTGGATGCGGTGGTTTCCTGTCCTCGGATGATGGGCGCGGGCACTGCGTTACATGTCTGGGGGTCCAGCATGTTAATGCGCTGCTCGCGGGCAGTTCATGTCGTCATTGCGATGCCATGACTGTTGCGCAAGATCGCGGTTAGCCTTTGCAAAAGGGCGAACCACCCCAGTTGTCCCCTGCTCTGCAGCGGGCACTCGGGCAGATCTGAGGGTTTCAGCGAGAGATAATCCGTCGCCCACGGGCCCGCGGACCTCCCGCTCCTCTAAGCGCTCCATCCAAGCTTCGGGCGGGGGAAGCGATCCGTCTAACAGATGGTAGCCCTTACGCCCGATGACACCGGAGACCAGATGTCCACCGCGGCATCGGAGGGTGGGCTTTCATTGTCCGATGATGATCCAGACCCGCTCGCCCCCTTCGGGCTGGTGAGCGCTGTCACTACGGATCCTGAAACGGACATGTTAGCCGTGCTTTCCCGGGCTGCTTCGGCCGTGGGTTGGAGATGGTTTATCCCCCAGCTCCGCGGCCGGACCGACTAGAGGGGCGTTCCCTTCTTCCCGGAGGTGCACAGTAGGCTCACGCGGTCTTGTAAAGCACTTTTTTCTGCTCGTGCTGCGTGTTCCTCCACCCTAACCACTCTTGAGGGTGAAACAGCCAGGGGGTATGTGGCGATTCCTCAGGTTGAGTGCGCGATGGCGGTAAATCCGCGCGGCGCCTCTTCTTGGCGGGGTCCGCCTCGTCTCCCATCCAAAGCCTGTAAGTTATCTACCTCCCTCGGAGCTAGAGCTTACATAGCTGCGGGCCAGGCTGCTTCCGCCTTGCATGCGATAGCCACCTACCAGCGCTACCAAGCGCAGGCGCTGGCCGAGCTGCACGAGGGTGGGTCCAACCCAGGCTTACGAGCTTCGCACCGCCGCCGACTTAGCTCTTCGGACTACTGAGTCCACTGCGTGTGCGTTGGGGAGGACGATGTCCACATTAGTGGTCCAGGAGCGCCACCCCTGGCTGATATGCGCAAAGTCGACAAAGTCCGCTTTCTTGACTTCCCCATATCCCCAGCCAGGTTCGGCGACACTGTCTGTGAATTCACCCAGGAATTGAAGGCGGTGAGAGAGCAGTTGGTGGGTGATGTCTTATCGGCGGTCCGTAGCCCGCTCCGCCCGCCGTGCCATTCATACCTGCTCCTCGCCGAAGGCGCCCGCCTACGAGAGCTGCTCCGCCCCCGCACACGCCGCCGGCGAAGCGAGCGCGTCGGGCACCTCGGAAGCAGGCAGCCCCCCTGCCCAGAATGCCGCTAAGTCCGGCAACGGACCGCGAAGCGCCCCTGGGACAGGCCATCTGGAGAAGAGGGAACTTGCTCTTTCCCCGCTGGAGGGCGGGGCCCCATTTCCAACGGCACTTTTTACTGCCATGAAAACATTATGAAAGGGCACTTTTCACTTCCCCAGATGTGACAGCCCGAAATCTGCCAGTCTGGGACGCTATGCTTTCTAGCTTGCAGATTCGGTGCGTTTCGCCAGTGGCTCACGAGCGCTGGGAGGACGGTCTCCTTTCTCCCACCCCTCAAGCCTCCCCTCCGGAGCTCGGGTTTGGAGTGAGAGCAAATATCTCACCTCCAGCTTTTCCGTGGGACCCGCGAGCTTCCCGGATCAGCACACCCACTCCGCGCTGCCCCACTGCTGGTACGTCAGCGATTGTAGCGATGAGTCCATTAGCGAGAGCTCTGCCTGCCTGGTTAGCGCGGGCCAGCTCTTCGCGGTGGCTCATACGCACAATCAGACTCGGCTATGCGATTCAGTTCGCGAAACGGCCCCCCAAGTCACGGGTGTGTATTCACCAGGGTCAGCCCCCTGTCCGCCCCTGTCTTGCGAGAGGAGATTGCTGTCCTCCTGGCGAAGGATGCAATCGAGCCGCTCCCTCCAGCCGAGATGGAGAGCGGGTTTTACAGCCCACGCTTCATCGTGCCCAAAAAGAGCGGTGGGTCACGGCCAATCCTAGATCTGCGCATTTTGAGCCGCTGCCTGCACAAGCTGCCGTTCAGAATGCTCACGCAGAAGCGCATCCTCCGGTGCGTTCGTCCTCTGGGTTGGTCTGCAGCATTAGACCTGATGGACGCGTATTTCCATGTCTCCACTCTTCCTCGCCACCGACAGTTTCTGCGGTTTGCGTTTGAAGGTCGAGCTTGGCAATACAAAGCCCTCCCCTTCGGGCTCTCTCTGTCTCCGCGGGTCCTCACCAAGCCCGCGGAGGGTGCCTCAGCGCCCCTTCGGCCCGCGGGCATCTGCATACTCAATTTCTTTACGACTGGCTGAATTTTGCCCTCTCTTTTGATTATGCACAGAGTTGATTATGCACAGAGACAAAGTGCTCTGGCACTTCCACCTGTGGGGGTTTCAGGTCAACCGAGAAAAGAGCAAACTCGCCCCCGTGCAGAGGATCTCTTCTCTCGGGCTGGAGCTGGACTCGGTCACCATGGCAGCGCGCCTCTCCGGAGAGCGCGCTCAGCTGATGCTGTACTGTCTGAGAGAGCTCGACAGTAAAATAGTGGTCCCACTGAAACTATTTCAGAGGCTCCTGGGGCATATGGCATCCGCAGCCGCTTCATGCCGCTCGGATTATTCTATATGAGACCACTTCAGCACTGGCTTCACGATCGAGTCCCCAGACGCGCATGGCACGCGCGCGCACACCGAGTCTCTGTTACTGCGCTGTGTCGCCGCGCCCTCAGCCCTTGGAGCGACCCCTCGTTCCTACAGGCCTGGGTGTCTCTAGAACAGGCGTCCAGTCTTGTTGTCGTTTCAGCAGACGCTTCCAACACGGGCTGGGGGGCTGTGCGTTGCGGGCATGCGGCTGCGGACCTGTGGAAAGGTACCCAGTTGCATTGGCATATCGCCTGGAGCTGTTGGCAGTGTTCCTCGCTCTCCACCGTTTTTTTCCAGTGTTGGAGCGGCAACACGTGCTGGTCAGGATGGACAGTACGGCGGCGGTGGCG